TATTGTTCTTGTTTTAAAATAAACCCTTATATTTTGTTGTAGTAATTATTTCAATAACCACATCGGATAACATTACAAAACTTTATATAACCAATAATTTAAATATATAATTTTTTATTCTATAGGCTTTCATGAAACCTAGAATAGATAATTTTATTTTTTATAGCGCATAAGGTGTATAAAAAGGAAATTAATTAAAAAACTAGTTAAATTATGCTTCTGTCATTGTATTTATTTTTTGATTATTGAAATAAAGAAAGACTCGGTGTTATTGAAGAACTATAACTTTATTAGGCCGAAAACAAGGCTTTAACAAACTTATTTGTTCGCTGTCCTGACTGTGTCATTCTCGCTATGTTTACCAGTTGCCTATTATACCGAGCTATAAAGATAACTGTAAAGAGATATCAAGTGATACGAAACTAACAGTTCGTATACTGACAGGAAAGATTATCACTTTACAACAATTATTTACTTAATTTTGATGTCATAAAATATTTAATTGTACTCAATGAGGTCGTTTTAAATTATTCTGAGTTTAAAATTGATTAAACAAAGAATCAAAAGGGAAAAATTGACAAGACTTATTGAATATTTCCGAATGTGGTGGGGGGCGGTGAAATTAACTCCCACCCAAATATTTCCACAAAGTTTTCTAAAATAATTATCTATCCAATATAAAATTAATTCATTAATGAATAAGTAATGAAAATTTAATTTTTAATCGGATAAATATCTGAGGTTTGGTATTTTTTTAAAAACTGCAGTTAGCACTTTTTTGCTTTCATTAACGAAAATGACCCCGTATATAGGTGATACCTTGTCTTAACACATGCGGCAAATACAACTCACTTTAGGAAAAAACTAAAAAGTATACAATGGGGCATAAACTCTTTGGTGCCTGGTAAAATTTCCTTTAAATTCAAAGTTTCTGTTAACAGAAAAACGGTTACTATTTTTCTTATACTTAGTAGAGAGAATTGTTTCACACATTTATGCAATAATGAAATTATTGAACCACGAATAACTTCAAATAATGCAAAAAGAGCAGAGAATGTGAAAACCTAAACGTTATGTGAAAAAGAAGAAAAATGAAAGTAAAAATTCGTAAATATAGGAAACAGACTCGCAACGCCAATGTGTGTATGTGTTTCTTTCTAGAAAAGAAAATCGCTAATTTCAACGTAACATTACGGAAGTTGAGTTTCCAGAAATTTGATAAATGCTTTTCTTTGTTTTGTCATCGGATATTATTTTGTCAAGTGTTTATTAGTAGACGAACATTTTATCTCTAATGACTCTCTTCCTTGGATAATATCGTTCAAAGGTCATTTTTGAAACAGATAAAAAAAAAAAAGCAAATAAAAATAGGATAAAAAAGAACCAGTCAAAAAGAGGAATTTTTAAAAAGTAAAACCAGTCGCATTATTACTGAAAAGTGATTTCACTTGCGAAACTACAAAGGAGATGCTGAAAATTTCTCGGCTCGACCAAAAGTCTGACCAAATGAACAACTATTCTTTTCTGAATTTGTTTCTTGCCAAAACAAGAAATTTTCAGCACCTCCTCGCACAATATTAGAGAAAAAAAAATTGTTTTTTTTAGTTGGACCGTTCGCAAAAATAAATACCTAGATAAAGACTGATGTACATGAAAAAAAAAGAAGACGGATGTTGGTACATTTCATCTTTGTGAAGAAAGAAATATCTACACCTTACATCAAGAACAGAGTTGAAATTTCCTTGTGTATAATTACCCAACTTGTCTGCTAGGGAACTTCCTCTACCGATCGCTAGATGACATTGCCAAAATGCAGTATAAAAGAAAACGGTACAAATCCCCCTCCCCACCTATTTCTCTGTAGCCACATGATATCGTCGGGACTTCTTAATCTCCAGCGAACCACGTATCGCATGGATCACAATGCTGTGTACAAATACACTAAGCTGATAATGCTACCTAACCAACAAGAAACATTTGTCCAATGTAAGTCTATGAACAAATTCAATAAGACTTTACATCTCAATCAGAGCACTTTCATTTATCTCCTTTTATATTCTTCCTATTTAGTTTTGTTAAAGAAATAACATATTATTGCTAAATATACAATATTGCTTGTAATTTCCTTCGTATCTTCTGTACGAGAAAACATTCTATGTGCTGACATGTATTTACATCTTATCTTTCAACAATTGGGTAATAATCACAAACTGTCATACCGCTTCATTTGCAACAAACACTTCTTTTGACAATCACAATATTGAAGTTTGTTCCAAAGCGAGTCCTCGTGGTACATTTTAATCTTTCCACGGAAGATAAATCCAAACCACTTACTTCTTGTGACTAACTTGCTCTTCAGACCTACCGGAAGTAAGTCTAATTTTAACTGTTCATGATAACAAGAAAGTCTTTTCAGCATAACAAATAACATTAATTCCTACGAGTGTCTATTGAAAAAATATTTTACTGCAATAAAATAGTTAAATAGGCGATAAAATAAAAAAGTGAAACACTTAAAAGAATGACAAACAAAAGTGGAGAATACTTACTTGCCTTTCATTTAATTGTAATTTAAAGCCGTGTAGAGTTTGGATGAACTGTGAATGCAGTGCAATATGCTTCTATTGTTTGTTTATTGTCATTTGACAAAGAGGTCGTTGGTTTCATGTTGTGTTAAAATGACATTGCCAGTGACTTTTACACACACCTTCGTACGTATGAACAATATGGTGGCTGAAGTAGTTACGTATTTCCCATGGGATTCGATCCTGAAAGAAAAGTAATATCTAATACCGATTTTCAAGGGAAATATTCCTTCTTTACTTGTCTATTTCTAATCTTATGCAAGAGTTAGCTAAATTTATACTCCGAAATTCTGTCGTATGCTAGACTAAGCTATAAATCTATTCCACTAATTTACTTTATGCCATATTAAACTATGTTTCTACTGCGTTATTTTGCCTTATGCCAGACAAATCCAAGATTCTATTGCACAATTTTGCCTTATCTCAGATAAAGCTAACATTTTACTCGGCCATTTGCTTTATGCCAGACTAATGTAACAGTACAATCGTACCCTGCTTTATTTGGTAGTGAGTTGATAAAAGTAACCCGAGTAAATAGTTATGGTTTAATTGCTGGCTAAGATAGTTGTACGCTTATGAAGTTGATCTTGATAATAGATAAACAATATTCACTTTGAATTTTGTGGTAACACAGTCATTCTATTTTTTTTATTTCATCCCATTTATTCATGTATAAGTGAAACTGAGTATAAATTCATTTGCAAGTACAAACACAATAAAGAAATATTTTAATCTCCTTAGTGTCTGAGGCAATTCTATTCTTCCTATTCGCTGAGTTGGTTGGTGTTCGAAGGAATGTAAAAACGAAGATCTCGAAAGAAAAGTGCGATAGACAATTACATACCACACCTATGGCTGATATGTAATTCATTCTTTCTTTCTTTCTTTCATAAAAATCTGTTTGAGAATTGAATTATCTCCCACTAGAGTAACTGTTCGAAGAAAACAGTCACTCCCTACCCACTTGAATGACTTGCGCTATAGAATCTTCCTCTCCGCATTTCTAGCTATTTCAATATGAGCTTTATTTTTATTTTGAAGCTTATTTATCAACGCTAAATATTTCCTTTCGTAAAGTGCAGCTATTGTTCTTTTCCTCTAAAAATACCTCCCGTATTTTATATGCTGATCTTTAGGTTTATGTTAAGCTAATGTTTACCCTGACATCGTAGACTATCAGTATTTGTACACAGTATAACAGCATAATATACTGATACTAAATCTAAAAAAGACACTCTTATATGACATCGAATACGATGAACAACATGAACCGGTATACCGCGACTCGTGAGATTCGTCGTTCTGTCGTTCCTTGTAACAGCGCTACCCAAAATGTAGTCTTCTTATGTCGTCACTTGCTGATGTTTATCTTTACGGCCATCGGATATTGAGTAACCTGGACGGTAACCAAATTTTACGGGGATTTCGCCCAGTCGTCGTTGTCAGATTGAGATTTCGGGTGTGAAAAATCCCAGGGGGGGGGGCTGTAATAACTTCTTTGTTTTGCACTGAACCCCGATTTCACAGAACAAACTCTGCTGATAACTAACACCAGGTTAATGAAAACAAATTGGAGAATTTAAAAAGAAGCAAACAATTTTAATCTTTCCATGTAACCTGATTGCCGAGTTTTCGTCAGGAAAATTATTTTAGCAGTAACTCACAATAAATTGAGAGACCTGTATTCTTGTCTATGTGAATTTGTGTCTGTGGGCTCGTAAGTTCTCTCGGGTTATTTATATAAGCATGTTATAGCTTTGATTTAGTAACGATGGTCATTTTTGCAATGCGGTCAAGTCAAACTCCTGGTAAAGATTATATAAGATTGAAGATTAATAGCGCTTTGTATAAACAGCAGGAATTCTTCATAGAAGACCATAAATGTTTTTCATATTGCTCCGGAGGCAACTAAGTAGGTTGGGGAAGATCTAGTCTTACTGTAACACTATTTGGGTTGCTGGTAATTAATAATAATAATGGCGACTTGGAATATCAATGAAAACGAGATAATGATGAATAACTTAGCATGAAAAGGGTTAAACATTATAAGGAAAGATAGACTGATAATAAAATTGTTCTTAGAGAATCGAGATATGTACAATAGACCAGATGACCGTCTAAAAGTAATTCTCAGTTTGTGCGAACAAGTCAAGTGTTGACAACTTTCGGTAAAAAAAACAAAAACTAAATGAATTCATTTTTCCGGGATGTCGGGATGAAAAACAATAGATTGAACACCTGTGGAATGGCGACCTTTGGCTGAACAAATTGTCACCATAATGAGAGTTGCAAAAAAAAAAAAAAATTCCCTGGGAAAGTGTCTCATGGGTCAAAGGTGAGAAAGCCAATTGGGGTGTCAATTCACTTATGAGATAAGAGCATTTGAAACCATATTTTTTTTAATTAATCTCTGACCGAAAGCTGAAGTGACAGGCGCAGAAGTGCGATCAAGGAAGGATGAGAGACTGCCTGCACCCACTGAAGGGTAGCAACCACAGAAGAGACATTAAGGAGGTTGAAGGAGCTGCTCTCGACCATTGGAAGGCAATGGTGGTAGATGGTAATAAGAGAGAGTAGAAGCAGCCAGGCGGAGCGATGCCTGAAACCATCTCCCACGAGATACCATGACAAGAGGTTACGTCTGTTGCCGTTTGTTATGAAGCAGGATCGAGCCTGAAGTGTTACATTACGAAATCTGAATGAATTCTGCTTGGTTTGTTTCGGGTTCGAATCTTTCTAGAGTCTCGTCCGAACTCATTTTATGGCTTCTAATTATAATTTTTATTTCCTTCTTTCTGACCTTGTTCTCATCGGCACGTAATTAGTTTCGCTGATTTTCTTCTCATACAGTAAAATGTTGAGCCGGGGTTACCACCATATTATATCCAGTCATATAGTAGAGAGTTGCACCTGCTATATCCAGTCATGCAGTAAAACGTACGGTTACCACCCTCTTATACAGGAAATAAAATGATTTATTTGATTAGATTTCACTTCGCCTAACTGGTTGGTCCCTGGGATAATATCAGAAAGGCTTGTTGCGGTTGTGCGTGTTGGAGATAAGAAACAAAATTGTTCAAAAGATAACAAATTGACAAACAAACCGAGTTTAAACAACAAGTCAAACGTTCTTGATTTAAAATAAAGTCAAATTTTATTTTTGGCAACAAACCAAAAACATAACACAACAGTATATTTATAAGAAAGGATAGATGATTTCATGAATGTGCTGAAAAGGATATCAACCAATGCTTAGAAGTCCTCCAAGTTTTGATGAGTGTACACGCAAATGAATAAATTAATAGTCCTTGTAATAAGAAGGAGTATGAACAAATGCAGTGGTAAAAAGGTTCTTAGGAAGTGTTCGTGTATTAAATATAGTTCCTTGAAAGAGATGAAATTGTTTGGTTGAAACTCTGTGACGTTAGTACCAAAGTAAGGTCGATAAAAGTTCGAGTTTGGTATTATCTATGACGAAAGAAGTTTTGAGTACCAGTTGAAAATCTCGTAGACATTGATGACCGAGTAACGTCGTTGAAGTAAAAAACAATTATAGTCCTGAAAAATAAAGGGAATAGAGTTCATAGTAAAAACGCTTTGACGTTAGTATCAATAAAAATAGATTAAATAATTAGTCCTTGGAGAGGAACAGTAAATCCATTGTGTAGTCTTGAGATAATATATCGCCGAGGAAGGATAAATTAAAGTTCGTTCGAAAGAAATCACTTAAAATCCTTGAGTTGTAGACGGTAAAGTATAATCCATAACAAAATGCATTCAAAATATGGCCGTATGTTGATTTATCCAAAATGTTGGCGGGAAATTAGTTGTATATACCGGAAGTAGCAAAGTGTTTACAGGAAAACTGACATGCGCAGAAATACTTAAACGCTGTGTTTAACCGCCAAGTAAGAATTGTCTGGAAAAGAAATTGAACATACCTGTAATAGCGAAATACAAAAATGGTTATGAGCCAAATGGTTATGAGTGGTGTGTTAAGAATTAATAAAAGAATGTTATTAAATGAACAAGTATTGGGATGGATTGCTCGACAGTAAGGCAGGAATTTAATCAACCGCGACCGGAGCGAAAGAAAGGAAAAGCTTAGAAAGAGAATTCTCGTTGAGAAAGTTGGAAAAGCATTTTTCCAAGAATGAGATATAAAATGGGAAAGAAAAAAGCAAAACAAACAGGAAGGAGTGTCTTCGTGTCTAGTGAAGTCGGAAGTCAACTGCTACTTCCTTTCAGGCAACTTCCGACAGAACATTGCATTCTGGAAGAAGAGCCGGTATTTACCCGACCTCTCCACGAGGTAGTATGTGGCACAAGGTCGATTCTTATGTGGGGTGATCTGATCCCGTAGGCTCGGGCAAATTTCCCTGTAGACCCCGTATACACGGTGTCGAGTTTGTCTACCTCTTCAGCCTCGTCTGGGTTTCTCTCTGCCCGGAGGCAGAGAATCGACAAGCAGATTTCCGGATGAAGCGCCCGATATTTACCTTGACCCCACATTGAATAAGATTGTGACACAAGGTCGGTTTTTAACGTGGGGATCCGAGTGTCTCTACTCGGCCCGCTGGTTCAAGCTGGTCATATCTTAATCTAATCATAGCCGGGCATACGCAACGGGGTACGCAAGGGAAGAGATAAAGTCTCTAGCATGGAACAGATACTACAACCACGGCATCTACTCCGACGGTGGGAACATTTTTCTAGACAAAGGAGCTAATGTAACAAGATTTCATAATTTGTGTGGGTGGGTGCGACAGGCTTTCAAGGATAAGGGATAACAGTCAAAGAAAGTAAAAAATTATGAATACTCCAATGAAATACCAACTTCTCTAAATTATAAAAGCAGAGAAATTAAGGAATAAAAGAAGTTTTCACTTATCATGTTGTCTAAAAGGAAGTGTTTGGAATATTAAAATAGATTTAGTAGACACAGTTTTCCCACATTAAAGGTTTTCCCCCCAACAACCTCTTCAATTTATTCTTATAAAGAATTCCTATCTTTTCTTTCTTCTCCCAGTTTTTCTTTTACATTGATAGAAGGTAATTCGTGCCTTTTTGTTTAATTAGGAACTGGATCCTTGAAGGAAAGATCATCCTTGAAGGAAAGATCAACCTTGAAATAGGAGTTTTCCTTGTATAAAGCATAATTATGAATGCTGATTTTCTAGGTAGCAGAACTATTGAAAGACATATTCTACACAATATCACTTACACTCTCAATATTTGTAATATAGCTGCCATGAAAAAATGAAATATTTTACTGAAACAAACCATCCCTTGATAAATTGAAATGATATATATATATATATATATATATATATATATATATATATATATATATATTAAAATTGTTTCGTTTAATGCGTGGTAAAAAGGCTAGGAATTATCGAATGAAAAGTGAGAGCTATAACAAGGGAAAAGTAGTTAAACGCTTTACCAGGATGCGAATTTTTTTATTGCCTGATAAAATATAATGGTGTAAAATTAAAAGGTAGCTTTTCTGAGACTTGTATCTTCATTTCGCCTCCAATTGAATATGGCTACCGGAGGAAAGCTCTACAACTGAATGCAAATTAACAATTAGTAAACACTGTTAAGGGTCATGGTAATAGAGTGGCAGTTGGAATTTTGAGGACACTGCCTATAGCAAAAATGATTACGAGATTGAAGAAAGTAAATACATGTAAATAGACTAATGTTTCATTCTTCCAAATTCTCTGCTGAAATGCGGTGATTTTATCCACCCGTGGGTTTTACATGCCATCAAACACGGTATACAGGCCACACATTTGAGTCAAAGACACACAATTCTCTTTATACTGCTCCTGTTACATATTTAGAGATTCTTGATAAAATCTAAAGAAGTATCTGAAATCTTATTTGTCTTAATCTAAAATCTCGATTACAGTCCCTTTCTCACCGCCGTAACGCAGCCTCCTTGTGCCTTTTAGATAAATACTTTCATGATAATTTTTCTGATGAACTTTCTTCTATGGTACCTAGACTTTATGAATCTAAACGCAGTACTAGATTGGCAATTAGGTTTCATTATTTTACACATGAAATGGCTAGATTTAACCATAAATTCTGTACAACTAGTGTCTTCTATCTCATTTTTCGTTTGTGGAACTCTCTCTTCCAGCTTCTTACTTCCCTGTCAACTTTGATCTTCAAAAATTTAAATACAATGTGAATTGTTATTTATTGTTCTCTCTCCTTAATAGTATTTTCCTTATATTCTTTAACACTCTGTAATCCCTTGGGTGTGGTGTTATTGCCTTGCTTGGAGTGAAATGATAAAAAAATAGTTTGTTTACATAGTGTCAATTAAATTCAGCCATCAGATGTTATTTTTTTTCACTAGAAGTATTCGTATTTTTCTTTGCTTTATCTCAACAAATTAAGTAAAGAGAAATTAAAATTAAAATCAAAGGACGTTCTTATCATATCAAAACAACTATTCATCACGTATGATGATGTATACATTATAATAACGGGTCATGCTACTTAGGTTTCAGGGCTATATTTAGTCGTCCCCCCACGAGGGCGTCATGTGGCACACGGCCTTTTTAACGTGGGCATTTCCGAGCCATTAGGTTTCAGGGCTGGATCAAAAAATATTTAGAGGACTAAAAAAAAAAAAATCATGCCATTCCGGATACCACATTATTTGCTGACACTCATTTCCCAAACATATCTGTTGGGAAATCAATCTTCTACACACATATAGCCACGCAGGAAACAACGTTCGCGGTATCTATTTGTAAATTTCAAAATCAGTTTCACTGAATCCGTATCGTCCGGGTGGAATATAGAACCGGACCAAGTGAACCATTCTATATTCTTGTTCAAAGAAGGAAGTCAAAGCCAAGTCGTCAGGTCAATAGACACACTCGGTTCAAGAGGATTCCGCTTTAGCTACCGGTGTATGATCAACAACAGGACTGACCTCATTGACTTGGGGTACACTGCCGCTGTCGTGTTACAATTACCAGTATCAAGCTTCACTGATTCTTGGGGAAATAATGATTTGTGGATGTTACCACGTCAGCTGTAATCGGTTCCTGTTATATTGCAACAAGTCACGGCAAGATCTCCTCTCTACTATGTTGCAACTGGTATTCTGTTTACCTGCAGAATTGGATTTCAGACAGGCCCATTGTAAATCTTTAGGACGTTTTAATAGTAAGAAACAACTATTTCGTTTTCTTTTTTTTTTTTTTGTAGCTGGAGCGAACGCTAGTCTCTACACAAAGACGTCTTTAATTTCAGGCCTTTTACTATGAACGGTCAAATCTAGCAATAGTAGCGACCTCTTTTTTCGTTTCCGTTCTTTCTTTTAAGTCAGTTTCTTACTTTTTAAAGCAACTTTGTTCTTTTAACTCCGACAAAAAGTAACTCCGTATGTCTAACGGCTAGCGGAGGAAAAAGGGATTTTATTGACTGTTTGCGAGTCTGAACGTTTACTTTTATAAATTCTTTCAAGATTAGAATTGTCACGTAGGTATTTTCTTCAGACAAAGAAG